CTTTAACAAATGCAAAAGAAGAAACCCATCTCCATTTCAGGAGCTTATTTTTTTTTTCCCACAAGGTGACAAAAAATGTTTAAAAATGGTAGCTGCTTTACTATTTTTATTATCCTTAGTTTATCTTCCATTCACACTTCCCTCATTCTATACTTTTGCTTCATTCACATCTTTTATTTTCATGTAACTCTAAACTCTTAGAATTGGAATTAAAATCTTAGTAGCTTTTGGTGCTTTGGACTTAGTGGCCACATATAAGCACATCAGTGTTTGGATCTGGACTTTCTACTGTGAATTTGATTTGCTCACATCTCAGCTATATCAGCATTACCTCTGTGCCCTAACCTTGGCCAATGAGATCTTCTTGTACCCACTTGTCTAGGCCAGTCCCTGTCTTTGTGTGTGCCTGCATGTGCATGTTCAGTTATATCTTGGTGTTAGTACTAAATTAAGGTTAGCATTCTTTTCTTGTGGACAAAGATAGTAAGAAAAGTAAGCAACTGCTGGTTGCTCAGCTAAGAAGGTTACTATACGAGTTATAGCAGAGGGTGTCTTCCAGCAGTTTCCACATCTTTTCCCTAGAAATACCTCTTCTATATACATCTCCCTGTACAATTCTCTATATACCCTATATATTTTCCTATATATATATATACCCTATATATTTTATATATACACCCTATATATACCCTATATATTCCTATATATACCCTATATATATGCCCTATATATTTTCTATATGCCCCTATATATTTTCTGTACAAATTATCATACTAGGTAAAGTCTTAAATTCCACTTTCTCTTAACATCACATGAGAAACTTCTCATGCCCCTAAATATTCTTTAGAAAAATAATTTTAATGGAATCATTCTATTTTAATACAAGCATATATATTATGATACTCATTAGTTCATACCTATTGTTTGCTGAATCCTTTTTCTGTATCTACAAGCTGTACTAATATTTATATAAGCAGGAAGATTTTATGAAGATATATATACATGTTTATGTTGAAATATTTTACTTAGTATTATTTATAAAGTGTTTTATTGTTAACGAATTAAACTTATCTTTCAACATTTCAAAACTTTCTTTACCTGCTTTATTTTTTCATCAAATACCTTATAAATGTCTTTTTCATACCATTTTCGCCTTTAACAAGAAGTTCTGACAATTTAACATTCTTTGGGCCAAAGTCCTGTTTCTAAATGTTATTTGCTGGGATAGGTGCAAACTGGAAGGTGCTCTAAGGTCTACAGAACTGGGTAGGGCTCCTAGTCCCTGGGCCAAAGGCCTCAGGCTGAGATAACGACTACAATGAGGACTGGCTCTATTTTCTCATGTTTTCTCTCTGCTGTTGAGTAAGACTTCTTCCTTCTACCAGTATATCCAAATTACTTTTAAACTACCACCCGAATTACAGCCAGTTCTGCTATCAAACTTCTTTTGAAAATGTAAATTTATTTTTAAGTTGATCAATATATTAGGAAAGAATTCGAGGATAATTCAATGTTGTATTTGCTTATGCAAGATTCTGTCGATGAAAAACACTATATGAATGCAGAAAAATCACACTCACCTGAAACCAGCTGTGTAAAAACACACCGAACACACACACACACACACACACATCAAACATCTCCCAGCTACCTCTACGCTCCTGTGTGTTACGAGCCACACCATCTACATTCAGTGTTACAAATCTCTGATTTCAGATAACTCTTCTGCCATTTCACAAGAACTCACATGCTGTAAGCATTGCAACGCCCACTCTCATAAGCAGTCTCTAAGTTATTTTCAAGATACGTGTTTTATTTGTGTGTTTCCTAACCATTTAATGTGTGTAAAACTATGCTTCCATTTTTATTAAATTTGCATATTTTTTAATGTGTCCAGAGACACATTACACTGAGACTTCACAGTTTTTGTGGGTTGTGCCCCAAGCCATATTTTCCCCTGAGTTTTATGGGGTTTATTATGTCATTTTGCATAGTGTGGTAATTTTTCAAAACCCATGTCACGTAATAGCATAACCGACTGTATGTATGATCTCTGGGGCAAACCCTGTGCATGTGCTATGTAAGAACTATTTTCCCTTAAATGAAGAAGCATTTCTAATTGTAGCTTCAAAATTGTTTGTTTTCTGGGTAAAGTTGTTCTAAGGTTGACTTTGACATTGGGACAATACATGTGTCTCTAAATGGCTGGTTCCTTTGCAGCCTTCAGATCTTAGAGAAGTTTTTCCTCAGCACCTAGACATATTTTTTCCCCCCTGGGGACCACCTCCCCCCTCTCCCAGACCCACACCCTGTCACTCTGCCACATATGCTGGTTTAATTGAATTTTACATATCAGTATATTGAAATGTATTATATGTATGATAGCATTGTTTATGTCACATTAAATTATTTGTTCCTTGTTCCTATTAGAATATATACTTCCTAAAGGCAGACATTTTAACTGCCTTGCTTACAATTGTATTCCCACCATATAAAACAGTGTTTACCACATATGGATCAATAAATATCTGTATTCTGTAAACCACAGATCCCTTTTCATGTGTTTAACATGAAAACTTTATAACAACCAGTTCCGTGCATACGTCCATGTGGAATTATTATTTTAGGATTCCCCTACTATGCAAACAGCAGCCTAACATGCATTTTCAAAATACTATTAACTCCTTGGGAAATAGATAAACAAAGTATATAATGATTCAGAAACCAAACTTAGGCCTTTTGGTTTTTTTGCTACTTTCTAGTCAGTTTTTTTCCCCCTAAACTGTAATTATTTCTCTTAAATTAAGGTCTAAGACTAGCTTCTGGGATATAGCAGCTTGAGTGGTAACAGAGAAGGGCAGGGATGTGTTGATTCTTGACAAACAACAATTGAACATGTAATTAGAGGTGCTCGTTGGGTTGGGCAAGTCAGACCGATGAAGCCACCTCAGAGATCATTGCTAAATAAAATGGACTTGCTCACAATACTAAGCTGAAAATCAAGGATTGAGTTCCAGCAAACATTTATCTAGTGCCCCCTAATGGCTGAAGGAATGAAATGAAAAGATAAAATAAAGATTCTCCCCAGAAGTCCATGAGAAAGACATAAAGTGCCACAGATAAACATAATGTCAACTTCTAAAGATGTGTTGTTTAAAGGGAAATATGTGTGTGGGGGGGAAGTCACAGAGAAAGAGGCACCTGCCATTTAGTAAGTGCCTTTGGGTTGGGGGGGATAGGCGGGATTCAATGTGGGCTGCTGACCCTGAGAGGGGTGCTGGGCCAGTCCCCTGCCTGTGTTCTTCCAAACCCATTCTCCACCCCTACCCTGCTCTACTCTGTATTTCAGTAAGTGACATTTCCCACATTCCACTGCCCACTAGCTTGTGGCTGGGTTTGGGCAGTGGGAGGCATGGGCAGGAGATGAGAGGACCAAAGCCAGGAAAAGGCAAGCCACCTCTCCAGGTCTCCTCTGCTTGGGCAGCATCGACGGCAACAGTGGTCTCCTCCATGGCTCTAGTTCCTGCCAGACCGGTGCTCTGTGACTGCAGCTGCATCTTGGTGGTCCTGGACCCAAAGCACTAGTGAAACCTCAGTCCCTCCAGCCCAGGGAAGTCAGAGGCTTCCCGTGAGGCTGATCTTAGGGTTGCCTCACCTGCTCCTACTTGGCATGTTGCTCTTCCATCACTCACGCAATAAATTTCTTATATTAAATCCCCTCTGTTTAAATATCTTAGGATGCTTCCGTTCGCCTGACTGAACCCGGACTGTCAGGGGAGATAAACTGCTCCCGATGGGGGAGAGCTGCATGGGTTCTGGCCTCGAAAGAGATGGAGGATTGAAGGATTTAGCCTGGGAGAAAGGAAAGATGCAGAACAACCTAAAAACAACTGAAATTCACACGCATGCTGAGACTGTGCTATTGAGTCCACACCGTTCTGAGTCTGGCAGGTCTTTAGGAAGGATAAGGAGGGTTTTGTGCCTACACTAATCAAGCACCAAACAATACCCAAGGAGAGATGCCATTTATCCAGGCAAGCCACATGGCTGAAAGGATTTGGATCTAGCCTGCCTCTCTTTATTTTCAGCTAACTTTAAACAAGTATTTGGGACTTTGGGAATGACTCACCCACTCAGAATACCAGAGCTGAAAGGGATCTTCTTCCTCCAAAGTACATCTGCAAGGACACTAACGCTTTTGTGTGTTAGAGTGATTTGCACAAGGCCCCACAGCTGGCACAGCCAGAGGGAGAAATACCCTCTCCTGACCCCAGGGCCAAAGCTGTTTTCACTCTATCATCCAAGCCTCTACCACTCCCCAAGTTTCAGTTCAATATGTGCAGGTTTGGTCCTTTGGTAACCACAAGGTTATGAAAATATCTGAATGAGTGTGTTCCCCATTAAAAGTATCTAATTTGGGACTAGTAATAATGAAATAATGCATATGTTATTCATTCCAAAATAAACAGTTTAGAGTGATTTCTTTTTTCTTTTTTTCTTTTAGAGACAGGGTCTTTGTCACCCCAGCTGGAGTGCAGTGGTGCATTCATTGCTCACTGCAACTCCAAACTCCTAGGCTCAAGTGATCCTCTTGCCTCAGCCTCCTGAGTAGCTGGGACTACAGGTGCGTGCCTCTATGCTAGCTAATTTTTAATTTTTTTTTTTTTTTGGTAGAGATAGTGTTTTGCTATGTTGCCTAGGCAAATCTCAAATTTCTTGCCTCCAGTGATCCTCCCAAAGTGCTGGAATTATAGCCAGGAGTGATTTTTAAATAAAATAAATTAACAGACATTATACAGTTAATTGAAATGCTGGTAGTATTCAGGTAGACTGTATTCAGTAGACTGTATTCTACTTAGTTAAAAAAACAAAAACCTCGAGCCTGTGGTGTTTACTACATTCTCATGCAATTGCCTCAACCAAATCCTGTGGCTGCATCACTTCTGTATCTAGACTGAACACCAAGGGTTTGGGATAAAGAAACAGCTTGAGGCAAAGACTTTAGAGACATTATCTGTTTAATAAATATGATTGTAAAAGCAATAAACAATAGCAATTATACATTACACTACATAGTATTTAACAAAAAATACATCAAAAAAGTCATTTTAAAATTAGAAGTAGTTCCAATACTATAAGAAAACTTTCATTTTTTTTTAAATTGGCTTCCTATAAAAATAAGTTGGCAAATGAGGGATTTCAATGCTCAGTTGGAATCCTGGAAAACACAGAACAGCTGCCAAGCACCCCATTGCTCTCAAAGTTGCTGTTTGGAACTTCTGAAGAAAAGCAAAGCAAACCAATCTCTGCATTTTGGACAGTGAATCCAATTAAAAATAAGGCAAGAGAGAAAATGTCGGTTGGGTAGTTCAGGGTAGAGCACGCACAGTTTGCCTTCTGGGATTTTGGAAAATGTTGCAATATTAGATTTTTGGCTTGCCCTGAATCTTACCTTCCACATACATCCCTCCCCACACACTCCTCTGACCTTAAGCCCACCAGACTCCTTCTTGTGTTTGCACCTGCTATTAGCGAGTAGCTAGGCACTTGGGTCCCTCCCATTTGTAGGTTCTCATTACTGCCTTCCCTTTGGGATTTAGCTGGAATGGCAGGGTACAGTGGTTCTCAAACTTTAGCATGCATCATAGTCACCTGGAGGGCTTGTTAAAATGGTTTGCTGGGCCCACTATCCCCTAGCAATGGAGAACACACTGTGCATCCTCTAAGTTTCTAATCAGTAGGTATGGGGTATGGGTCCAGAATCTGCATTTCTGACAAGCCCCGAGGTGATGCTGATACTGCTGGTCTGGGTACCACGCTTTGAGAACCACTGGCCAAGGTCACAAGAACAACGAGGTACCCTCTGGACAGTACCTTCTTGCCTCATTTATCTTCTATAGGTGGGAGGGAGCTTTGAGGAGAGGCACATAAGGACACTGAAGATGCTGAATCTATAGCTGGCCATCTTTGGTCACTTTCCAAAATGCCAGGCATCTCCTGTCCACCTCTATTTTTAATTAGGATTTTCAGCCCATGCTTCCCTGTATCTTTTCCTTCATGTATTTCTTCAACAAATAATTTTCATATTACTACTCTAGGCAAGGCACTGTGCTAGATTAAGAGTGTTATTTCTTTTTTTTTTCCCATAATTTTCTAATTAAAATGAAGTGAAATGCAACTCCGAGGACTCCCTGTGCTGGTTTGAGTGAGCCTCTTTTGGTTATCAGACTTTGTCTTCCAGATTATATCTAGGAGGCTCCAACTGAAGAGGATCAATGAGGATGTGTCCCGTGAGATAGGAAGCCTGGCAGGGTGGGGATCAATTGAGTTCTACAAATAGGTGGCTGCCACAGGCATAATCCATTTCCCAGATTCATGTGGCGCATCCTCAACCAGAACAATTTCTGCTTGACTAACTTCTGACAGCAGCTCTGCTCCTCCTTCTTTGCCTGAGCTATGTAAGGGAGGAGTCATCGGGATCCTTAGGACACCCCTGTTACCACCAGGGCCCCTGTTATACCCTGTTATTGGCTTATGGACACAGCCAAGAAGGAGGTTGAGCTCTCTGAGTGGTTTCTCAGAACTGCTTTCTCCTCTAATTCAGAGCGGGCTTTACCCAGTCCATAACTGAACAGGCTTCTGTTTCCTTCTTTCTCTGGGCCTTTGGACATGATAGCCCTGGGAAAACTGGGATGTCTTCGTGCTTTGAGCCAATCCACTTTGCTAATCAGCAAACTTTTCCCTTTTTATACTGACTTATTTTTCCTTTAATGAAACTATGATACTCAGAGATCAGAGAGCACACATGTGAAATCATTAGGATCACTTCAAATAATCAAACTCTCATCCTAATGTAAGACAAGACCTCCATATGTTCTCTAAGACTTTTTGACAGTCTTTAACATTAATTCCATTAACCTGCTTCTCCTTCCGGTTAAAATCAGTTTTATTTCACAAATATGTTTATTCTGCTATGAGAGAGGAAATATTGTGTAACAGCAACCATCACAGGAAGAAATTGCCCTGCAACATAGTCACACATTCAAAACATTTCTCATAAGAACCTTCTGGAATCAGATCACATGAGTTTTTTTTTGTTTGTTTGTTTTGTTTTTTGTCAAGCTGTGAGAACACCATTATTCATCTGTATGCTTTCTTTTCCAAAGTACATGGCCAGGTTTGAATTGCTTTGCATATATCAACTCTTTCACACACATTATATGTTTCCAGGTGGGAAAAGGAAGGGATATTTGGAAAAGGTGGGTTCTAGAGGAAGAGACAAAGGATACATGAAACTGAACCCTGCTGTGTAGGACGTAGCTGGGTCAGTGAGCACAGAAGCTGGCATGCTTGGGAGTGTACAAAACTAACAAAGGGATCAGAAATTTGTGAGTGGTGGGAGGCAGGGTTGGCAGAGACTAGGCCAGTATTTAGGAAACATCAGGGTTAACGTCCAGAATCTAGCAACATATTTGGGAAGAAAAAGTAGGAGGAGCTGAAGGATAACTTGGGGGTTGGAAAGAAGGGATTCAAAGACATCAGTAGATCATGGCCACAAATGGATGGCAAACAAACTGGAAGGCTAAGACAATGGGTAACTAATGGGGTTCCATTTTCTACATAAATTGAGGCAGGAGTAGGAAGAGCTGTAAGGGGAAGCAGTCAGTCATGGTGGGAAGAGATGAGCAGGACAAACAGGCCCGTTCCTGACATGCTTTACCTCCCTGCTTCCTTTCCTTCCCTTTTCTACCTGCTTACTCTGGTCTTCAATTCATGTCTTTGTCCCTGTGGCCACAGAGAATGGAGAAAGCAGCCCTGTGGCCACTCCTGACCAACAGAGCTACCAAAGCTAACTCAGAAGGAAAAATGACCATAAGGAAAGTGGAACAGAGAAACAGCTCAGGGTTTCAAACTCCTGTGCATGTCTTTGTGTCTTATGAAAGGAGCTGGGGTGGCTAATCCACCCATCAGCCTGGAGTGCTAAAATAGCTGTTAGATCTAGAGCCAAGAATATTTCCAAAAATACATGCAGATTTCCTTGGCCTGTATATGTTATGAATTTTCTACAAACACGACCGATCAGAAAAAAGAGAGAGAAGAAGAAAGGGGGAGGGGAGTGTTTTCCATTAAAATAGAGCACCTGTGTACACTGCCCCTCCAGACATGTTCTCAAAGTATTGTCCACATGCACAGGCTTAAAGCTAAAAACCCTTGTTGTCTGTGTCTGAAGAATTAAAAAGTCCCGATGCAGTGAGTGTTTGTTTGTTTGTTTGTATTTTGATTTTTTTTTTTATTTTTTGTTGTTTTGTTTTTGTTTTTGTTTTTACTGGCGTCCTCCATTCAAACATTTACATAGGTAGGGATTTCTTTTGTGCTTTGATTCTCAGCAACTATGGAAATACTTCCTGGCAAAATAGGAAACAGAACAACAAAGGAAAGAAAGAAAAAAAAAAAATAAAGTTAGTGGTCATGAAGGATGATGCACTTGACAAGAGCGAATTTCTTTCCTGATCAGCAGGTCGCCTGTAGCCTTTGGGGGTTTTCCTTAAATTGCAAATTGTGCGGCAGCAGATCCCTTTGGCGTTGAAGGTGGACTGGCGTGTCTTGCTCTTTGCAATCGGAGAGATGAGTCACCAGGTTGAGTAGAAGGGGAGGGAGGGGAGGGTAAAGCTACTCTCCTAAGAGAAAACGTGTAACACTTACTCATTTAATGACACTGGAAATGGAAAGGTGTCAAGAGACTTTGCAATGTGCCCTGATATGTTCCTGGTAAAGGAGGAATTGCTACCTTAATGAAGCAAACAGAGGCTGTGCTTCATACCCTGTGGAAATGGGACCAAAAACCAAATGACCTCCCCGCCCCGCCCCCCAAAAAATGCACTTAGATCCTTTAGAAGTGAATAGACAGGGTGAATGCTTCTCTGGACTTGGAGACCTTTTTACTTTTTAACCCAAAGCAATTATGCATTTATCACCCTGTCTCCCTGAATAAAAGAAAGTGCACTGTGAAAATTGGACACCAGATATGGCTGCAGTTGTTGTCATTATCTACAATAGGAGCCAGTCATTGCATTTAAATTTCCACTTAATATAGCCACAGGCTTTTCCCATATCCATTTAAAGAGAGGGTTATGTTTCCATTTACACACTCATTTTTTCCCAAGTAACATTAAACATTTTATGTAAAGGCCTTCTAGGTGGTTTGGCATTATTACATTAGAGTGAAGCACGGATGGTTATATAATAATTTATCCCTCTTAGTCAGCAATGCAGGGTTTAGATGGAAACATTTACAGCTTTGACTCCTGATGCCAACAGACAGAAGGAACCAAGGAGAGAAATGGATCACCGATGGTGGCTGCCTGGGTTTGTCTAACTACCTAGAAAATTTCTTCTACGGTAGGTAGTAGGTCTTAGCAAGTGAACTTCAGACTCTCTACACCTAGCTGTTGCAGTCCCATGCTTACTACACAGGCAGAGAGAGCTCTATTGAAATAGGATCAAGTCCATTTTAAGACTTCTGGTAAGGGACAGTCAAAAACAAGGAAGAAAACTGCCAATCAGCTCTGTAACAGTCTAACCCTCCATTGTTCTCTCTCTGGATACCCACACCCTGGACGTTCTTTAAACTTTATGCCTCTTGTCCTCAAGTTCTCAGGTCCCATATTTTCTGAGGGAACACTTCTAGATTAATTTCCTGGGTTGTCAGGCTGGCCACCCCCATGATGCTGCTCCATACTAGTGCTCTGGAGCAGTTTGCCCTCCTCAGAGCTGCATTTGCTGGAGGCCGCCATGTTTGGTTTTCATCAGTACACACCCTGTCTCTCAAACCTTGTCTGGCCTTCGAGTCCACCAGCCCCAGCCTCTGAGGCCTTTCCTTCTTGTGTATTGTTAGAGTCAATGCTTTGCTCTTTGCCCATAATCATTTCAAGCCCAGTGTTTTAGGGAGAGTTTTTGCAAAAAGAGGAATAAACTAATGAGAGAAGAAAACTAGATAGGCACAAGAAAAAAATTTTTTTTTCATCCTGATGGAAAGAAGCAGGGAAAAAGGCATCTTAGCTATTTCTCTTAGGGGTGTTAGAGCAGAAGAAAGTGGTTATGTCAAGCCAGAAAGGGGTTAGGAGAGAGTCAGCCGTTGCCTACTCAGGCTGAACAGCTGATGGCTAAGGAATCATTTACCTATGAGCTGTGATTCCACCTTCTCATCTATAAGCTGGCCAGGCCTCCTTAGTTCAGTCTGAGGGATATTGGGCCTGCTTTCAGAGTGACTGACTGGACTGATCATCTCTTGTTCTTTCTCATTCTGCATCTGGGCATAAACATTAATCCCCGGGATCTTCCTAAAACATTAACAGAAACCGTCACTGCTATGCACATCACTGTGACACGTGCTTCTGAACCTGTCGGGGAGAGGGAAGAGGTAGGGGAGACACGGATGGAGGGACACGCACCTTTTAAACTTGTAGATGACGAACACCGCCAGCCCCACAAACACCACTGAGAGCAGCATCAGCATGGCGGATCCACTGTGGGCTGGAGTGAGGTCCACCAGTGGCGCTGGGGGAGAAAACAAGGCACAGTCATGAACAGACACTTGGGAGGGTGCGACTCTCTGAGATGATCAAGAGGTTCACACACAGGCACGGTAAGTCCCGGAAAACCACGTGGGCGTACACGCAAGATGCATGTCAGGTGACTTACAAGGAATGCACCTGTCACACCCCTAGAATGGCCCCGCTGGCCTGTTCCAGGACTGAAGTAGAGTCATAAAAAGCACAGACCCTGGAGCCAGACTGCTTGGATTCAAGCCCCGGTCCTACCACTTGCTGCTGTGTTGTCTTGGGCAAGTTGCCTCACCTTAATGTGCCTTATATGGTAAGATTAAAAAACAGTGCACACCTCACATGGTTGTTAGGAAGATTAAATGAACTAGTGTAGGTAAATTACTCAGAAAAGTGCAGGGTACATATTTAGTCCTTTGTAAGTATTAGCTTTTATTTCTACTTCTGCTAATATTATTATTGTTAACCCAACATTTATAGTGATTATTATTACGATATTTTCCTATACTCTGAATGTAAGCTTTGCCCACTAAACAAAACAGATTACCGATAATACCACCAACAGAATATTTTTGTGAATTAACTAACTCCTCTCACTCCTACTCCAGCAGTTGTCATGTAAGAAAAAGAATTTGAAAGTTGTCCTATGTGAAAGAGAGAACGGCAAAGTGATGGAGCATGCTTGTACTTTTGCACACAGCAAACTGATGGCTATGTGCATATTTTACAACGGCAACCACTCTCATACTGGGGGTGGGATGTGCAATCTGGTTGTCTCCACAGCTTCCCAAAGCCCTGACAGCCCACACGACAGAGCTCCAGCCTCTCAAATGCCGTGAGTTCTCTCAGACAAAACAGAATCCTCTGCATCTATAAAAGCATCTCCCTCCCTGGGTTTCCCCTTAAAGGGCCATTGTGGAAAACATCTCTCTCCACCTCCAACTCATGGTCAAACCTGTTGTCTGTACATAATGGCTTTGTTTGCAATTAATCTCTTCCTTCTTAAAAACTGACATTTTGCAAATATAGCATAGTTCAAGCATAAAAGACAAGCCACACAAACCCCATGGAAGCCTGGATGCTGACCTTTACCTTCCATCAGTTTAAGCAAAGCCTGATACCCAGAAATGCAGGTGACCTTTCAGCACCACTTTCCATAGCTTTTCTCTGTTGAGAGCTGAGAGGGCATGTTCTTGTTCACCCAGGCAAAAAGTTCAAGAAGAGGGTGACTACAATACTGATGACCTTAGGCAAGACTCTCTGCTGCATCTGCCTTGTCTGGTTTGTGTAGGATTATATCCCAGCCAGTCAGCAACCACACTGAAAGCACATTCTGCATAACCACACAGATTTGGGGGAAAAATGAAAGCCAAGTTATCTTTCTTAGAATATAGTCATTTTAGGAGAATTGGCTTTAGGTAGGCACTGAATGTAAGGACTCCACCCCCATTATTTTCTCTCCCCTGTAAGTCAAGGTGCATTTTAGCTGAGAAGTGGAAGTGTTTGAGTTTGTGCATGAGAAGATGAGCATGGTCTCACTGCAGTAGAATATCCAAGGCAAGTTTCCTTTAAGTTGGAATTAGAAAATAAAGCTCTCAGTGCCAACAGCAAGGAAGTCCAGAGATACTTCAGAACTCGCACTGCGATTGGCAGGATATCCTCAGGGGAGGAAAACCCCTTCCAATTGCCACACACATTATCACAATTAATTTTCACAAATGGAAAGCGGGACTATGATTCCGATTCAACAGATAAGAACGGTGAAGTTCTCCTTGGGTATTTCAGAGGGAGATATTGGAAACTTAAAAAGATATTTTTGAGGATGAGGATTAAAGCTAAGACTAAAGCACGAGAAGAAAATTAACAAGTGGCACAAGTAAAAATATTACATTTTAAAAGGAGCAGTTAGAATCATAAATCATATACTCTTAAACTTGGAAGACAGGCATATGTACAGATAGATGTATGAGTGTGTATTTATTTGTGTGTATATGTATATATACATGTGTGTATATATAAAGGAGGGGGAGAGAAAGAGAGAGAGAGAGAGAACAAAGAATGAAGCCTCATGTACCCTCCACCCAGTTTCAACAGCTATCAACTATAAGCCAATCTTATTTTATCTCTACCCCCATTCAATCCTCAACTTCCAAGCACTGGACTATTTTGAAGCAAATCTCAGCTATCATAATGCTAAAAGATCTCTCTCTCTCTCTCTCTCTCTCTCTCTCTCTCTCTCCCCCTCTCCATATCTTAAAGGAAATCTTCTAATGCAAACAACTCATTTGACAGGGAACAAATGGAGGCCCAGAGAGGGGCCACAGATGGTTAGAGGCAGAAATAAAGCGAAACTTGTCACTCCTAACTGAGTGGTCTTTCAGCATAACCAGAGTATCAGTGGTGGTACGGAGCAACTAAGAAGAGTACTGAGCTTACTTAAAAGGTTGGGCATTTAAAATAAATGGAAAGCTAAGAGAGCAAATTCCTTCAGCCAGCCTCTCAGTAACACAGAAAGCAAATGCACATATGCGTACACACACACACACACACACACACACACACACTGGACTTTTCTCCCTTCTTTTTCCTTGCTCTTATCTCTCCCCATCACAAGGCTCAATCTTCCATTCTAAGTCATTCACACTCCAATCATCATAAACAAGCAGCATCAACACTGTTAAGTAATTAGCACATTAGCATATTATTTTGGGAAAATGGGCTTCAGCATCCTGACTTCTGAGGTGTGCCTCATCCACTCCCCTCCCCTACTCGGCATCACTTAGTCACTTCCCAGAGGCAGTGGGGAGAGACTGAGTGCCACTGCCCTCTGTGTTTCACGGGTGGCTTCTGCTTGCTGATCTGTGCCTGAATATAGACGGGCCTATTACTGCTCCACACAACAGCAGCTGCGTGTCTGCGCTTGCCCAACACTTAGGTACATTTGCGTGTGTTTTGCTGAGGAATGGAAACTTGTGATAAATGGGCTTTAGCTTGTTATGTGGAATTAGCATAAATTAATCCCTCTCCAATTGCAGCTTAAACAAGGTCGATGTGTGGGGAAAAGTGCTGAGCCGTTTCTTGCCATTATTCATGCCATTATTCACAAAGTAAAGGATGGATAGAAGCCATCCTCCAAGTGACTCATCATTTCTAAGCCTGGGTGCTGGCACACATCGTTTCTAAAATTCCTCAAAGAACTAACAGTAGACCGGCAATCAATCCAGCAATCCCACTACAAGGTATTTACCCAAAGGAAAAGAAGTCATTTTATCAAAAAGACACCTGCACTTGAATGTTTATTGCAGAACAATTCACAATTCCAAAGATGCAGAATCAACCCAAGTGCCCATCAATTCATGAGCGGATTTACAAAAGGTGGTATATATACGCAATGGAGTACTACTCAGCCATAAAAAAGTCTGAATGAATGCCTTTCACAACAATTGGGATGGAACTGGAGACCATAAACCTAAGAATGGTACCTCAAGAATGGAAAAAAAAAAAAAACACCACATGTACTCAGTATTAATTGGAACTAACCAATGAGCACACATGTACACAGAGGGAAGTAAAACTCAGTGGAAATCAAGCAGGGTGGAGGGGGTAAAAGAGGAGGGGCAAAAACCTACCTAATAGGTACAATGGACACTATTTGGGTGATGGATACATTTACAGCTGTGCCTCAAGAATGCCAAAAGCAATCCATGTACCACTTAATATTTTGAACTAAACATAAAAAAATAAAAAAATCATTTGAGAAACTAGGAAATGCATTGAATTACTATATTTTATTCATGAGGACCTGGGTTGATTATAGTTATAGTAAAGCTTACAGTAATATTCTTGTGGAAACTGATTGACATGCAGTAAGTGCTAAATAAATGGTCATGGTTGTGTGACAGTAACTCAAAATCCACATTTGGGGATAAGTAACTGATGATCCCTTTTTGGAGTCAGATCTTGGCTCTGCCACTTATGGGCTAAGTGACTTAAACTAAGTCTCAGTTTCCTCATCTCCATTATCACCATTATCAAAATGGAGATGAAACTGCAGGGTTTGGTTTTGGGAATTGTGAGACTAAAATGAGATGGAATGTATAAAGCTCTGTCACAGTGTCTGGCACATAGTACACACCCAATATTTTTAGCATTGTCATATTACTGCTATTATATTTCTGAAGGTTTATTCCATAGGAAAAAAAAAGTCCCAAAAATGAGGAGAGAGTTCCGTGGTGAAATAATTTAGGAAAATGCTACATATGGCATTCCCCATCTGAAGATTCATGATGCACACCAGTGTATGAAAGTTTCATAGCAGCCCTTGCAGGAAAGAACTCATTTAACTTTATCACAGTGTTTCACAAACTCATTTGACCACCGACTCACTACCTGAGTCCCACACCACACTCCCCAGGAAATGCCTCACCCTGAGCACCGCTTTCCCCCTTGCTGCAGCTTTGTCCTTTTGCTTGGTTTATTTCCAAGTGCCAAAATAAAACTTTTTTTCAAGTTTCAAAATTAAACAATGGTAGCATCATACAGTGAAACCATGCAGAACAACACCCTTATTGCTGCCTTGTGTTCACTTTCATGCTATCAAAAAGACTTTCCTGGAGAACTTGAACTGTGAACTTTAACTACACTTCTAATCTAAAAGCTAGTTGTGGTCAGGATGTGCGAAAGCAAGTTCATCATCCCTTGATTTTCTTTTTTCTTCTCCTGACCCCAAAGTGGACCCAAGTTAGGCTTTAGTTACATGCCTTGAATATCACAGAATTCATGTGATCTGAAATATTCTTTCAGAAATTTGGCTGGGTGTGGTGGCTCATGCCTGTAATCCTAGCCCTTTGGGAGGCCGAGGTGGGAGGACTGCTTGAGCTCAGGAGTTCGAGATCAGCCTGAGCAAGAGGGAGACCCTGTCTCTACCATAAATAGACAGAAATTAACCGAACAACTAAAAATAGAAAAAAATTAGCCAGGTGCCGTGGCATGAGC